TCACACACACACACACACACAGACACACACACACACACACTCACACACATACACACACACACACACACGCGTGTTTCTTTGGCGGTGTCATGTGTTTGACGTCGTGTGTGTTTGTGCTCTCAGGTTAATCGGCGGCTCGGACAACAAGCTGATCTACAGACACTACGCCACGCTTTACTTTGTGTTCTGTGTGGATTCGTCCGAGAGCGAGCTGGGCATTCTGGATCTGATCCAGGTCACATTTCATCATACAGCGCTTTATTCAATACAGAATGTGTCAAAGCAGCTTCACAGTTATAAAACAGCAGAATCAGTGATGGACACTTCATTAAATATGAGACTAATCCAAATTCTGCTGTGTCATGATTTGGGTCAGTTCAGTTTATTAAGTCTGTAAAATTCATCAGTTATAAACAACTTCAATTTCAGCTCTACAGAAGTCATTATTCAGATCAATTCGGGCTTTGAAACCCAACAAAAAACTCCATCAGGTGACAGAAAAACCTCTTAAAGGGGCTTCAAAAGCCTTCGTTCACTCTTCCACAAATGAAGGCCTAAAATTCTTAAATCAGAATCTTCAATTCATAAAGTCATGGCATTAAATGCTGCATGCATCATTAAAAAACAATATACGTGAGCCTGGAGCACAAAAGCAGTGTTAAGTCGCTGGGGTATATTTGTAGCAATAGCCAACAATACATTGTATGGGTCAAAATTATAGATTTTTCTTTTATGCCAAAAATCATTAGGATATTAAGTAACGATCATGTTCCATGAAGATATTTAGTAAATCTCCTACCATAAATATATCAAAACTTAATTTTTGATTAGTAATATGCATTGCTAAGAACTTCATTTGGACAACTTTAAAGATGATTTTCTCAATATTTAGATTTTTTTGCACCCTCAGATTCCAGATTTTCAAATAGTTGTATCTCGGCCAAATATTGTCCTATCCTAACAAACCATACATCAATGGAAAGATTATTTATTCAGCTTTCAGATGATGTATACATCTCAATTTCGAAAAATTTACCCTTATGACTGGTTTTGTGCTCCAGGGTCACATATTCTTGCTTTCCAATAAAAATATATAAAAATCCTCAAATCAAGGTACATCTAACAAAAAACTCAATTCTGCTAATTTTTCTGAGAAACTGAACATAATTGAGTTTATGCTTAAAACAAGAACTGATGAAATGAAAACTTGTTTCCCTTTGAATTAAGTTTATTTTTAGTCCACTGGCAGATATTTGCTCTTGTTTTAATCATAAACTCACTTCATTTTGATCAGTTTCTCAGAAAACAAGACTTCATGTCTTCTTTCATTCTGCTTCTCCAGTAAAAGTATTTTGATTTAAGAATCTTTTGCACTGCAAACACTGAAAAAGAGCATCACTTATTTCGCAGGTGTTCGTGGAGACGCTGGACAAGTGCTTCGAGAACGTGTGTGAGCTGGACCTGATCTTTCACGTGGATAAGGTGATGCACGCTTCACAATCGAGTGCTAGCGTGAGCCGCGGGGCGCTGACACGTCTGTTCTGTGTATCCGCAGGTGCACAACATCCTAGCGGAGATGGTGATGGGCGGCATGGTGCTGGAGACCAACATGAGCGAGATCATCACGCAGGTGGAGGCGCAGGGCAAGATGGAGAAGTCTGAGGTGAGAGCGGCTCCGCTGCTGCATGCGTGTGCGTGTGGAACGCATGTCCCAGAATGCCGTTCTGTGGTGTCTGCTGCTGCTGCTCTTCTGTGATCGATCTGAAGAACAGATCTTCTGCCCTCGACAGGAAACACAGGCAAATGCGTTGCATCGTGAGCGTTTGAACGAGGCTCCCTTTGATCATTTCCATCCCACACACGCAAAACCATACCGAACATCACCAAACGCTGAGACCCTGATTTCTACAGCGCTTTATACAGTAGCAGCTTCACAGAGATAAACAGGAAGAATGATGGAAACTTATGAAACAAATCCAAATTCAGCTGATTTAAGCTCTACAAGAGACCTTATTCAGATCAGTTCAGATTCAGTTTGGTTTGATAACGAACAAGTTCAATTCATTCAACTCTAGTCGGTTCAATATTGATTCAATTCAGTTTAATATCAGTGTCAATGTTGCAGAATTCGTAAATTGTGAAACAAGTTCAAATTTAGCTGTAAAGCAGCTCTACAGGAGACAATAGAGTCATTTTTCAGATCAGTTCAATTCTAGTTTTGTTCTCATCTGATAGTGTCAGCGCAGTTAAATCAATAATATTATGGAATATTAAGTATCTTTTAAATCCAGATTAGTCAAGGCAAAGGTAAAATTATTTTCTGTGTCAGTATCAGCGCTCTAATGATGTAAAATCTTTTATAATGCTACATTTATTCTGATGTTGAATAACATTAATCGAGTGAATCTCAGAGAAACTCACACACACACACTCACTCTCTCTCTCACACACACACACACATTTTTGTCTATTTAAGATTTTTTACTCATATTTGTTGGAGTTCTGACACATTTCAGGCGAACAGAGTTCAATCCCGTTGCTCTCTCTGTCTCTCTGCAAAAAAGCTGAAAATAAATCTTTTTTTTTTTTTTTGCATTGTGACCCTAAATTCTTATGACTGTAATTCAATAATGAGAATAATCCTGAAAGTGTTTTTTTTTTTTTAAATTAAAATTGGCATTAAAATTCAGTACAATTTTGATGTAAAATTCAGTAATGAATCAATAAACACTACCATGATGGACATCCTGCTCAAACGTTGTAATCGTTCGGGTTTCAGCAGCATGCGAGCGTTTAAACAGTCACAATGCAAACAGCCGTGAAGCTGAAGCGTTTGGTAAAGAGATCTGAGTCCATCTGATTCCTCACAGACCCACCGTAGACCAGCGCCGCCGCATCGGCTCTAGTGATGCACCGAGAGGAGAATTCTGGACTGAAACCGGAAAGAAATGATTTAAGAATTCATTAAGTTGTACAAACATTGAATGCAATATAATACATTTGATGTGCATACATTTGCACATAATACATTTAAACAGTGGCTTTAATTAAAACTTGTATTCATGATGGTTTATTATAATGAAGTTAACAGGTTATTTAAAAAAAGAATTTTTCTGTCTGACTAACGAGTCAAATTGCTGTATTTCTGGATGCTGACGTTGCGGTGCATCACTAATTAGCCTGTGTTTGACCCGAGCCGAAGTGAGAGCGCGTGTTCGCGGCGGAGGAGACGGTGGGTCGTGACAGACGTTCTGGATGAAGTGTGTTGATCTTGAGCTGCTGTAACTGTCTCTCTCCACTCTCTCCTGACTGTCTCCAGCTCTGTGCGTTTCTCTCTCTCTGCAGACCTTTATCTTTCAGTGTCCCAGACAGGACAGGTAGACACAGGTACTGCTGAACCCCACACACAACGACTGTCACGCTCCTCCTGAGGACAGACGCTCACACGGACGTGCCTCATAATCAATCAGATCCAGAACAGAGCCGAACGTTCAGTGCTGAATAATCATGATGTTTCATGCTTAAAACATGTAAACAAGCATTGGTGTGATTCTGGGCAGAGCGTTTGTCTGATGTGGGACTGTCAGTCCTCAGGATCACAGGTTAGATTAGAGCAGATTTGTGTGAATATCATGCGGATCGTCTAGAGATGACAGTAGATCCGTAGCACACACGCACACACACACACACGCACACACACACACACACACGCACGCACTCACACACACACACACACACACACACACACACACACACACACACACACACACACACACACAC